ATTTTCACACTAGAATTGTAGGATGGGAGAGTGAAAGAAAAAAAATCACCTACTTAAATGCTAGTTAATAAAGACTTTGTTCCTAATACTTTTTTGCTTATATTTTTCTATCACTGCCAAGTTCTATTTTCCAACTCATAAAATTGATAGTGCCATCAAGTCACCCTCCATGGGCTTTGAGGGACCAATAATGAGCAATGTCTGCCTTCTCCTCTCACCCAAATTAAGACTGTCAGCGTTGAATTTGGCCATTCTTAATAAAAAAATTTTCAAGTTTTTATTTTTAACATGTAATTCTTAAGCATTTGTTTTCTCTCTCTCTCTCTCTCTCTCTCTCTCTCTCTCTCTCTCTCTCTCTCTCCCTCCCTCCCTCCCTCCCTCTCTCTATTATTTCAGTCCCCAGGGTCTTTTCTCTGACTGCCTCCACCCTGCCCTTTCTGGCCTGGATTTCCACCTCCTCATTGTACAATGTGCAGACTCTAAACCATTGCAACAGCCTCTCTCATCTGCTACTATAGCATCTCCCTCCACTCATCCACTCACTGATCACAATGTCACTGTCCTGCTCAAAGTCCCAGGTAACAACTTCCCATGCTCTTTGCATGAGATGTAACATCTTCAGGGTGGCATTCACGAACCTCCGTAATTAATTTCTACCTGACTTTGAAGCTGAACCACCACCACTGTTCTGAACAAATCTCCCACTGGTACCAAAACAGACTTCATTGTCCCAAAAAATACACCTGTGCCTTTCTCCATCCACAACTTTGGATGATGTCTTCACTCCACCTCAGGTGCCTCTTCCTACACCACATGCCACACACCAAATTTCCAAAATCTATCTAAGTAGCAATCTCTGTGTGTCTTCTTTCTGTCTGTCTGCCTCTGTGTCAATGCTAGTGACATTCTGTGTGTAGCACTTAAGTGATATTCATCACACAATATCTTATTTTGTACACATTTCTGTCTCTGCATCATGTCCCTAAGTAGATGCCACAGGATAGGACCACGTCTTAAATACCCGGTATCTCCCGTGTCAGTTTAGCATGGTGCTGGCGCAGAGGAAGTGGGGTTAATGAAAAGCGAATAAGCAAATAATGCATTTCTTGAGCCACATAATTGTACTGAAGATGACAGAGCCTGGAGTCAAGCAGGGTTGAGAATTAATGAGGAGTGAAAGGAAAGCAGTTTATTTTTTTCTACAGCTATAATCTCCATGGCATCAAGAGAAGAGAACCAGGCCAGGACCTCAAGAGCAACAGTACCTGTTCTCAAAGAGTTGCCTGTTTCTAAGTTGGGCTACGTGTGTCCCCCCCCCCATCAGAATACTGAAACACGAGAAGAAATGATTAGAGATGTTATTTCCCATTGCTCTGAACACGTGCTTTAATGAAGCTGGAGTCTGCAAAATGATATCTCCATCAAGGTGGCTCCTCATTAACTGTTTCACAACTGTCCACGTGACACTTTAAAATGGTCCACATAGAAAATAGCACCCAGACACCTGAGTGAGCAGCTGGCTGGTCCCCCTTCTCAGAAGCTTTAGGCCTTGCTGACAAACCATTGTCAGCACTGTCTCTGGCCCCACAGCCAGAGGTAAGCCAGTGAATGGCTGAGCCACAAGGCTGCCAGAACCTAGGGGGTGGGCAGCAGCCAAATTGCATCTGCTGTTAAACTTGTCCTGGGGAAGAAAACACAGGAGTTTGGTTGACTTCTATTCTTTGCTTTTATCAAAGCAGTATAACTTTGACTAACATGTCCAGTTGCTTTGTGAGATCACCAAGAAGCCAAATCCACCACCAAGAGGGACACAGGACAAGGATGGCCCAACCCAACTCCTGAGTCCTTTTCACAAATGGAAATTACCAAGAGAAACCAGAAGGACAGCAATGAATTAGTGGGTGGGAGGCAACAGTGTACAGGGCAGCCTTGTTAAGTGGGGAGGGAAGATGGACAGACAGTTAGCCCAGCTGCCAGAGCTCTCCAGAAGCAGGAGTATGTTGCTCCACCAGCCACCATGGAGGCTCACTGAATGCATATGGCGGGCCAACCCTCCATTGATGGCAACCAAGGGAGTAGATGTTTGCCTGCACCTCCCTKCCTCTCTTCCTCATTCTCCCCTCTGGTCTCCATCCCTTTTCTTCCTTTCTGTCTCTCTTCCTATGTCACAAAGGAAGATCCAAACTGTGTGTAGGGCAGGAGAGGGCAGATGTTATCTGGGGTTAGAATTGAGTTCTCAAAGGAGAACATTTCAAGTCCGAGGAACAAGAACATATAAAGAACTTCAGATATGCTCAGTAATGTTTGCATCGGAGGAAGTAATTCTTAATAAAAATGAAAAGTCTGCTCCCATGTGCCCTCAATTTACATATCATATTTGTAAAAAATGGTTCACATTTACCAGAGAAATCAGCTGCTAAACCACTACTCTGTACTGACCGTTCACGGCATAGAATCTAGAACCCAGCCAACAGTGGTTTGCTCAGTGTATGGTAGAACTAATAGGTGTCCCTGATACCATCCCTCGACATGCGGTTGTAGTGCCTGGAAAATCAGATTTGTTTTTGAGTCAGTAAGATAGACTGGTTTGTGCCAGGMAATCTATATAATTGCCCAGAGTCCTGGGGAGCTCCTTCTTAAAATATTCTGTGGAAATTTCAGCTACTCCCCTCAAGGAATTTACCCTAAGTGAAGAGAAAATACACATTCACACATGGATTGATTAGAGCAGGAGAAAGAATCAACTTTGATTTGAGGTTTTCTAGGGTCTTGAACAAAAGTGATCAATATCATAGTTTAAAGAAAACGAAGTTTGAATGTTGTTTTTTAAGGTTCTTTGGGTTTCGATCAATGCAGAGAACCATTTCATTGGCAAGTTTCCTTTGTTTATGATTTGAAATGAACATTATCCTATGAAAAGGAAATCATGAAGGATCCCATGCTTTTTCATGTTAATATAAACAAATTATCAGCTCCTGTCCTGAGAGTTGATCCTATCGAGGGAAAAGGTGAAAATGCAGAGGCCACTACGAGGGGTGGGGAAGGGAGCATCTTGGCAGCACCACGTTCTGTGAGTGGGAACCCGGGACTCAGGGAGATAAAGAAAATTGGCCCCTTGATAAGTCTGAGCTCCAAACTCTCTGCTCTTTTGGCTCAAATATAGCATTTAGATACTAGTAATAAAACCTGAGGCACTTGGTGAGTTTGTCCCTGGCTGTTCTCAGAGAGCCGTCAGGATCTCTCAGTGAGTTGCATATGACCAGAAGCAAGGCGAAAGCCCTTTCACAGTTCTAGAAACCAAATCATGAAAGTGCCTGGTTTTCAAGGTTTCCTAAGCTCTAAGGACCAGCTGCACTGTGATTCCTGAAAAAGACCAGGAAGGAGGAAAATGGTTCAGGGCTGCAAGAGGCTGGCCCTGCCCCTGTACACCCCATGGAGGAGGTAAGGGACCATGGCCTCTCAGAAATGGGAAGGGGAAGAGGGGAGGTCTGGCTGCCGGCTGCCTGCTGCCTGCCAGCTGTGCCCTGGCTTCTCAGGGCTAGTAAGTGGGAGCTGTGTGGTCTAGAAGTGGGAACCTCACTCTTTCCTGATGTTATTGATTTACAACACTGTTTTTAGGCGTAAGTTTCAGGAAGTACAAAATGTCACATAGATGTGTTTTTCCTAAACTATGAGGTCAGAGCCAAGCCTGGACCCTGGGCATCTGCCATGGGTACAGCACAAAGCTCCTGCCCCAGACAGCTACCAAGTGCACTCACCTGGGTGTGTGACTGTTGCAGCCACAAGCTCTCGGTCTACTGTGCTGTTCCCTCAATGCTGCTGAGATGCCTGTCCCTGCACAGAAATACACAGGGGCACCAGCCTGTGAGCCGTGGTGTTGGAGGGGGACTTCAAACGCCTCCCAGCCCTGCTGGCCTGTGCAGTGACCCCTCAGCCGGGTTCTGCTTTTTTCTTAAGCCACAGGCTGCTTCCTGTCCCACCACATGCCCCTTATTGTTCCAAGCCACTGGGCTTTGACTTCAACAGTGTTAGAATTTTCCGGAACTAAAGGGCAAACCCATGTTAAGGTCAGAGAATGGGAAAGACAGGTGTCTCCACAGCGCATGGGACTGAGAACCAAATGGATAGGCCCTGGAGGACTTAGAGAGAGGGGCATGTTTGGAGTGGAAGGTACAGGGGACCTGGCTCGGCGGCTCACCTGGCTCCTGCATTCTGAGGGGCAGCCATGCTCTMCTACGGGAAGGAGGAACAAGGGCAGGCTGGCCTCAGGCTTATACCTTGTCTCCCCCTACACCCTAGGCATGATAAATAGAGGGGTCTGCAGGGTAGGGCTGGGCTCAGGACCCTTCCTTTGCCTTCACCCACTCCCAAGCATAGCACATGCCCGGTAGCTCACCTGGGATTGAAGATGCAGTTGTTGACATGGAGGGCGGGGCAGGTGGCAGAATTTCTAGGGTAGAGAAGGTGATTGGCTCATAGGGCTGTGGGCACTTTGCTCTTCCCTTGGAGTCTCAGCAGCTGCCCAGCTGCCTCCTGCTTCAGACTGGGCTGGCCCTGTGTCACTTCTTTAGTGGCAGGTCACCATCCTAACTCCRTCATGCCCATCTTTCCCTAAGACTCTCCTACATGAAAGTGGGGGAGCTTCAAGCTTCCCATTTCCCATGAGATAAATTATCAGCAGCTCACATGCAGCCATTTGGGAAAAAACTCAAGGGTGACCATGCTGATCTTGGCTTGAGAAGCCAATAGACATCTCAGAGTGAACACTGTGATTCCAGCTGTTTTCCGGGGATGCAGCTTGAAAGCTACATAGGGATGAGGTGARATCCCACAGGAGGCACCTTCTGTCACTCACACAAACCCCATGACATAGCAAAGCTTCTCTGCATGCCAGCCTGGTAAACGTCGAGGCTGCTGCTTATGGGACAGTGGGCAAAGTCACCTGCAGCAGGTCTCCCTATGAAGTCCAGGCTGTTCTGACCACTCTCTGTGTCCCACAGGCTTGGACACCAGGCAGGCACAGGTCATCGTCCTGTCCTCGGGCACCAAGTGCATCAGTGGTGAGCACATCAGCGACCAGGGCCTGGTGGTGAATGACTGCCATGCGGAGATCGTGGCCAGGAGGGCCTTCCTTCACTTCCTGTATGCACAACTGGAGCTGCACCTGAGGTACGGGGCCCTGGCCATGGCTGCTGGGACTCCAGGGGCTGGCTGCTCTTTGATGGGTGTGTTGGCACACCACTGCTGGTGAGCAGCCAGGGGAACAGAAGGGGGACCCACACCAGCTCAGAACACACTGCTCCCTTCATCCTGGCAATTCCTTCCCAGGGTGCTCCACGAAGCGTCCCCTTCTATTCAGACCTGAGCACCCTTTGAGCACCAGCAAGATGCTGAAACACCAGGTCCCCTCCTCATTACTCCATGCCACTCCCCAGGAAACCTGTTTGCCTMCAAGTTGCATACACACATACCTCCACACAGCTGCCCCCACATGGACACACTCAGGGACATGCTCATTCCATTTGATTATTTCTTTTAAAACATGCAGGGGCTCATCACAGTGTCCCCAAAAGTCAATCTTCTTCATGAGGCTCGGATCCACTACAGTCCAGAAAGCCACAGACACAGTCATGGCTTCATCTCACGTGCAGTCCACGTTCAGTGAAGGTGTTTCTCCAGTGACATGCTGGGACTCTAAATGCCAATAGCATGAAGACAGGATCCAGCTCTAGGGACAGCTAGAGGAGCACAGAGGAGCCCCCCAATGCTGGCTTCATATGTGCCCTTAATTGAAGGCAATACTCTTTCCACCACCAGCTTCCAGTTAGGTCCAGAATGAGCATTACAGGAAGGAAGGAAGGAAGGAAGGAAGGAAGGAAGGAAGGAAGGAAGGGAGGGAGGGAGGGAGGGAGGGAGGGAGGGAGGGAGACAAAGAGAAGGAATGAATTCACTATCTCTTGGGAGACGGGAGGTATTGCTCTCTCTGAAACCCATAGCTGCATTGACTGAACTGAAGGTGTGTTCTCTTACTGTGTGAGGTAGCTTGGATTAATGTATCTGCTGTCTGATAGACTTTCATTTCAGCCATGGAAATGTGCCAGTTTGGAGGCRGCCTCTCTGCTCAATTTTGACAAGATTGTATCCACCTTGAATGGGGCCCACAGGGCAGGATTTCCATGGGAAGCAGCGCCACCCTCTCCCTGCTCAGTCTTATTTTTTAAATTTCTCAGCCAGGGAAATTTCTTACAGAGTCGAGGTTTCTCTAAGAGTGGCCAAGGCTATCTCTCAAACCTAGGCTCACAGATGGCTATCATTTTGCTTCCCAAGTGACAGGCTCYAGTTTCCACTGGACAAGTCCCAGGCAAGCAGCTCTTACATATGACAAGGTGGCCAGTCCCATGTTGGTGCACAGTACCTTCTAGCCCTTGTCCTGCTGGGTGAGGCCATCCTCTCCTGGCCTCATTTCACYCTACATCCCCACATTCCCAAATGTGTTCAGTTTTCTAGACCTTGCCCTCAGGTAGTGGGACTAAAGTAACCAAGGATGGGTTCTGAGATGTTACCTGTCTCATTACTCCACCTCCAAGTGTATTTTAATAAGGGCATTCTGAAACAGAGGCCACTGAGACCCCRAGAAATGTGCTCGGAGGTTGGAATTTTCAGTGTTCTCATGACAGCCTTCTCCAGCCATCAGGAAAAGGCAGACTGTCACCTGGGCTGGCATCTCTCTCTAAGACACATTAAACAGGAGCAGAGATGCAGGTGGACTAGAGCGCATGTCTCGGATGCATGCCTGCACTGAGCTATTCGGTCACAGGGTTTGATGGCTGTGGGTCTCTTTGCCAGAATGTTCCTTCCCTGCATCCTCCAGCTGCCCTTCTGTAGCCTTTGAAGCWGTGTTCCTCAAATCCACTAATAATGGGATCTCAGGGGGGCTCTGTGAGTGACTCATCATGCCCATTAGCATGTGCAGCAGCCACACAAAGGGAAGAAAGGCCCTAGTATATGCCAAACAGACTCAAATAAAAGCAATACCTTAATACACTCAATTAATTTTTATCTGAGCCTCTGAGCAGTGCGCAGAAGCCTGATATATTGCCCCATCGGTTCCAGGAGGCCCGCCCAGGCGCGGCTAGAGTTGAACGTAAGGGARCAGAGTTGGAAATCTCTCAAAATGCAGAGAAGGATTTCTCCTGAATATCCAACTGCTCAGTTGGAAATATTTCCAAGTACCCTTTCCTCCAGTTGGTGTAGTGGGAGGGAATCAGGCCAAGATCTGCCAGGAGTTGGCTGCATGCCCAGCACTGTGCTGCCAGCTTGCAGGGTGGGGGCTCAAAGACAATGTCTCCCATCCGTTCCCTGCATGGGGGCACCAGTAATGGCTTATGAAAAGCCAGCTACAGGGAGTGAGGTTTGAGCCCCTTGGCAAACCGGGAACGTTGGTCCCCAGGATCCCTGGAGGAGCTCACTTGGGCAGAGGGAGGGTGGGTGGTGGCCAAGGAGTAAAAGGCACAGCAGCAGAAAGGCTGGTAAGGCRTCTCCCAGGTTTCCTGGGGAGAAAATGTCTGTTCTGCTGCCTGTGAGATCTTAGGGCCCAGCAACACAGAATCCATCACCAATGGGGCAGAACATGTGAAAACAGCCAGACTGGCAGAAAAGAGGATGCAAGAAACCAGGGAGAAGAAAATCCAGGAGAAGAAATGCAGCCACCTTGGTGCAGCACCCAGGCTGGGGTCTCCCCACCTCAGTGGAGGCAGGGGCCTCTCACATTAGAGTTTAAAGGCTACCAGGGAGGTTTCCAGGAGTAACAAGCCAGAATTCCTCCAAAATGAGGCAGTTTAGATTTGTCCCAGATGCACCCCAGGAAGAGTCTGTCCTGGTTGCCATTTCTATCTAGCCCTGCGGAGGACCGAACTCCAGCCCCCTTTTTTAAAATCCCTTTTCTGCCTTTAATGCTCACATATGTTGCCCATCAGGACCAACAACTCTACAGTCTTGCCAGACATTGCCAAGAGAAGCCTTTGTGAACCCGCAGGATTAGGGCTTTATAAACTGTAGACCGTTGTCTCTGCATAAGATAAACCTGAAATGTAAATGCTAAGACGGTGAGGGTGGCGGGATTTCTGCAGCTTGTTTGCTTTCACGTGGTTTCCCGCCTCTCTCGGAAGGGTCTGTGCAAGGAGCAAACACAGTGTGGAGTGCGGACAAGAAAGAAAAAATTAGGAGCGACTCTACCAAACAGGACAAAAGCCTCCTCGGCCTGGCTGGAATATTTCTGGTTTGGTTTGTAATAAATGACCCAGATCCTCTTCTTGTCCCCAGCAAGCGACGAGAGGACTCGGAGCGATCGATATTTGTGCGTTTAAAGGAGGGAGGCTACAGGCTTCGAGAAAATATTCTCTTCCATCTCTATGTGAGCACGTCCCCCTGCGGAGACGCGAGACTCAACTCTCCCTACGAAATCACCACAGACCGTAAGAGACAACATATTTGCCTTTTGTAAACAAACAGCGCCAGGCTCCCCTGTTTCTGGACTCTGTCCCAGGCTGCCTTGGCCCGGGCACTGTGTGTGTGTGTGTGTGTGTGTGTGTGTGTGTGTGTGTGTGTGTGTGTGATGGCCACTGCTCTGGGAAGCTGGAAGAGGATTCAGCTGCAATTAGCTAGATAATCATACCTGCAAAATCTTTGCCTGAAATGCCCAGATCATTGGCAGAAAAGTAGTTTGAAGCCTAAAATTAGCTTTTCAATTGCCATAGTTCTCTGCTTCATTTTAGTAGGTCACACCGTCCCTGTGTCCCAAACTGGAAAATGGAATGAAGGAAAAGGCAAATGAGAATTACACGGGGTGGAAAGCAAATTCAAACCAGCTCTGTTTTCCTTTGTTTGCAACTTTGAGGAGAATAAAGTTCCACTTTGGGAACAAAGTCAGGGGTGAGGGATGCCCTGCCAAAGGGTTGCCCCAGGTTAGCTACAAAGTTTCACAGGACCAGCCCCTCCATTCTCATCAGTGGAGGAGGGACAGACAGCATCCCATGCCCTTTGCCCCTCCTTTCATCTGCAAAGAGTGGGGACATGGTGTYTCAGCATTGGAGGACAGGCACAGCTCCACTCTGTGAGGACACCGGTATCTCCATTCTAGAGAAAGTGTCGGGGCTAACATCTCCACCCTTAAATGCTATTACGAAATTCTATGACTGGGCCATACTCTTCCAAACTCTTTCYAGAAGCAGCCCTAGGAGAATCTCCTGATGTAGTCAGTGAAATTAAATATGTATATATGTATTCCTACCACCCCAATATAATCACAGTTAACATTTTTATCCCAGCTAAATAAAATATGAAAATAATATAAAATTTATAAAATATTTTGTGCACAAAAAAAGTGTATTTGAAGAGGGATCTAAGAAAGATACTGAAACATAGTAAAAGTATATTCTATAGTCAGAAGAAATTTCCAATAGAAACTCAATGGATGATGCACAAAGGTTTGGTTTTGGCCTTCTGGTTTTCCTTGCATGGAAGGCTACATATTCTAATTACCAAACTCAGGAAAAAATAAGCATTTATTGAGTACCTGCCGAGTTGTAGGCCTRTGGAAAGTGCCACCACTAAAGATAAAGAATGGGGGAGAAAGTATCCAAAAATCTACATGTGCTTAGCCTGTAGCCTGGAAGCTGGACCAGAGAAATACATTCTCCTTGTGCAGACTCTCCTCCAGCCCCATCATTTCCCCTTTGGAGAGTAGTTGGGTGGGAGTCTCCATAATGAGATTCTAAGTGACCTTTCCACATCCTTTGGAAAGCAAATGGGGGAACCAAGTGGAACTGAGAATCAGAAAAGGTGACCCATTAAATATGAGATAACTTTTAAAGGAACTGCCCTCAGGAGGCTGAGAGGGCTGGGGTGGCTGAGGCAATGTGAGACAAAGACAGCCCCTCAGAGGAAGCAGGCACAGCACAGGCTGGGTGAGACCACAGAGGACATAGCTTTACTATTATGCAGCTTTCAGAAAGAGACAGACAGGAAAACAACATGGAGCTGATTTATTTCCCTGGGAAATGCCCATTATGCTGGATGTACATGATACCAATTTGCTCTATAAATAAAATTGTGAAATTTGGTCCATATCCCAATAGACAGCTATTAGGAATTACCTTTCCACTTTTTATCAAAAAGTTTGGCATCATGAAGACCCAACATAGGAAGCCCTCAGATCGTAGAAGGAAAAGTTCATGAGACATTTGCAGCTGGCTCTAATTTATTCAGCTTCTTCTGTGGCCCATGTKTCCCCAGCGGAGTCAGGAGAAGGCTGAATGAGGATGGCAAGAACCTCTCCACGCCTGAGACCTCCTGGTCTCCCTGGGGGACAGTTCCAGCTCATTGAGCTTCCTGTGTCTCTGTACATCAAACACAACTGTGGCCTCACAGCCCTCATTCCAACTTGCAATGCCAGTGGTTTAGAAAAACAAACAAATACATTCTCGGAGGCACCCTGGGGTTCACTTCCAGCCACAGATGTCTTTTATTTCATGGTGCTTTTAAGAAGTGGCAGGTGCTGCTAGGAGGAAAACTAAAGCGTTTTCCTCACATTTTTATTGTAGATATGCCAGGCCAAAAGGAGCTGCTACTGCCTGGGTTATGCCTCTAAATTAGGTTGCTGTCTCCTGACTGTCCCCACTGGGGCAGGTGCAGAAGGCAGGCCCTTAGCCAGATGCCACACATTGTTCTCCCCTATTCCTCTGCTCGGGAAGAGTCTTTGAGTTCAGCATTGCTCACAGCTCCTGAGGCAAGCAGAAACTCTCAGGAATGAATTCCACAATTTCCACTTTAGAGACACTCACTAAGAACTGCTTTGTAATAAGAGGGTTGGGCAGCTCTCCATGTTGCTGGCTCCATTGCTACCCTTAAAGGAGGGTTAGACCACTAGAGAAGGGAATGTGAGTGATGGGGTCTTTGCTTTGAGGGGCTCCTGCCAGGGAGGCAGTCACTGGTGACAAGCCCCCTGCAGGAAGACTTGCACACAGATGCTGGGAAAACTCCAGTTAGGACTAGTCCCTGAGAAGTCAGCAGCCAGCACCTTCTACCCTACAGATTAAGCCGTAGAACCCTCAGCCTCACACCACTGCTCAGAGGGAGCCAGACTCCTAGATGAAGCCCTGAGAACCACACTGTCCCCTGGCAGTCACTGTGGCTTCATATTCTCACAGACACAGAGACTGAAGAGCACAGACAGGTTCTGACAGTTTTGCTGAGTACCTAATCCGGGCTCTAAGAAGCTCATGCCAAAGCAAAGGAAGCTCTAACCTTGAGTCCTGTGGACCTGCAACTGTGCTACGATCCCCTCGCCCCTGCTTCTCCCTCTCTCGCTCATGGGCATGAGCACAGATGCACAAACATTCATGCACGAGTATGTGCACACACTCACAAATACTCAACAGATTCTGAAGCATCCGAATCAAAAATATCTAGGGCTTGACTATGCCTAAAAGAAGCTTGGGAGCTTGAACAGGTGGTCTAGATTGTTCCCCTTCCCTTTAATGAATGAAGGGACACAGAACAGAGCATAATAAGAAAGTTTTCTGTCAAGTTTTAAACAATCATTAAAGTAAAGACCAGATGCCAAAAGGCCTGTGAGAGACACCATCCCTCTTGGAATTTCTAGGAGCCAGTTTCCAACCCCCACAAACTGCAGAGAGACTGCCTTCCTCCAAGGGCCTCTCTGGTTCACAGCTGTTCTGGTAGCTCAGAAGGTTTCCCAAATTTCCTGAGCCCCATAGGTCAGTCTGCTGGACAAGCCCCTCAATCCAGGATTCAGGGACTGAGTTCAAGGGACCATCAAGAAATTTTTCCCATCCAGCCCCACTTCCCTGGGATACCTGTRGCTAGAGAAATTCTGTATTCGGCTTTTCCTTTTTTTTTTTCCCCCTACCAAAACATTCATCTGAATGGATCACAAAGTCTCCTTCTCTGGAGTCTTTAAATATAATATCAATGTCAACTGGCCCACAGTATTTTGAGAAATATGTTGCATGCAAGCTTAGAAACTTATTAGATTCAGTTGTTTCCAAACCTGGTTTATCTATCTGGGTCACTTGAGAAGTYTTTACAAATTCAGGTTCCTGCCATTCACTCTTTGGCTGAGATTCTGTGCAACAGGAATGGAGTGGGGTCCACTAAGCATCAGCATCAGCCACATTTCAAATCCTTGGATTTAAACCCCTTTAAGTCATCTCCAGTCCACATGGGGCATTTGTTTCTTGCAGGCTTAGTGGAGAGGTCTTTGAGGAGAGATGGAATGGCAGAGTACCTGCAAAGGCTAACAAAGCTCTGTGGCAGGACTCCACCATGCAACAGGGTGGGCAGGTGAAAAAGGCTTTTGCTGGTGTGTTGCATGCACTGTAAAGGAAAAGTTGTTCCCGAGACAGCTTCTGCAAACTAAGGTCTCTGATCTCACCCAAGGCATAGCTACTCCATCTCAGGCCATTCAAAATTGCTAAGTGCTATGATTTCCTCCTGCACCTAGAGGATCAATCAATAAGTCCAGGTGGAGAAAAATGCCTAAAGATAATATTCCTTTGCACAACCAGGAGAACTGTGCTATTTGRGATTTTGTTTGTTTTTATTTACAAGGTCAGAATCAGGACTCTGAACACTTCTCTTGAGGGTTGGGGGCACCAACTGCCACCAAGGAGAGACAAGACTCCCTCCAGACTCACAGGTGACAATGCCATTTCTCAGTGCCTCGGAGGCCTGAGCTAGAGTTGAGCAGTTCTAATAAGATCCTCAATGTAAGACTAGAAGGATCCAGGGTACCTCACTTTTGCTGAGCAAATTTTGTCCCCCTCCCAAATCACCAATCCCCTCACCTCCCTCTTAGAATGACTTTCAAATCACCTGATAAATTCAGTTCTTATGACCATTGTCCAAGAATTTCACAGATCAAATTTTCCAAACTATCTCCCTCAAGATGCCATGAAAAAGAGCAGGATTACATCTTCCATTTATCTGCCAAGGTATGATAAGTGTCTAGTATATTCACACCAAGCCTGTTCCACTCATTATAGAAGAGCAGCTGAGGAGAGTGAACCAAAATCCCGTAGGAAGTCAGGAAATCTAAAGTACAGCTCTTTAAATTCCTTTCTTCAGAAGTCCTACTGAGTTATGGAAATGCACAGTAAATAATAGTTGTTCATTGCAGGATAATGGATTTTAATAGTCTCCTAATTTTGACATCATCACTACCATCGTCATCATCAAATGATGACAAAGGTCACCTATATGACCACGTGGCAATTATTACAGGTTTTATTATTACAATAAGTAATGGATTGCTTCACAGATATATTTTCTGCAATATTGCTTTTGGAAACAGTTTGGAAATCTAACTTTTATTTGATGTGTAGCCTTATGGGGTTTTGCGGGTGTGGGGGGGGGGTTGGTTTTGCTTTGTCTCTGTCCCCTATGCCATGTTTTTTGTTTTGTTTTGATTTGTTTTTAGATAACTCCACTAGGAGGTCAATGTCTTAAATTGTCATTTTATTGCCACCTCCTTTAAATTCTCCCCTAAACATAAAATATTCATTTGAAGAAAAACATTTTTAAAATATGTTACTAATCTACTTTATTAATTCCAAAAGATAACAATTTTAGACTAATAAGCACTATAATGATGAGTCTGATGATTTGGAACATCAGAATTGGCCTAGAATGTTCCAATGCATTTGAAGGTAGCTCTGTGTGCATGACAGGCCAGGCCTTGACATTTCACACTTGCACAGGCACACCATCAATCCACCACAGCTGGGGGATTGACATTTCATTCTGCTTGAAGTGGCATCTTCAGCTCCCCCCTACCTCTCACCATTAGCCAAGACAGAGGCRGGGAACTGTCTCCCCAAGTCCACTAACCCTGACGCTCACCCTGGGACCAATGAGCCCGTGGGAGGAGGCATGCTACAGAAGGTGGCAGAGACGTGACTCCTCCCAGAATGAGCACTCTCGGGAAGCTCGTGCACCTGGCTCTTGAGGCAGAGGGACTCTAGCCTGAGAGTTTGGGTTTCCTCCCAGAAACCAGTTGTTAATTCGAGCCAGGCCTCTTGCCGTCATGACATTAAAGACAGTGAGAAGCCAGAAAGGTTTTGCAGAATGACAGGCAGCTTTTGAGRTCTGGGAAATGATGCCGTAGTTGAAGTATTAGGAGATTGTGAAGACACCATGATTTACAGAAGTAGACATCAAGAACCACGTCCCCTGAAGCAACAGTGTAGAAACTGAGAGGCACGCCAGCTTCTCCATCTCCAATGCTGTCTACCACAGAGAGTCCAYTGAGACCCCACCTGGATCGTGTAGATGTTCAGATTAAACCAAGGTTCATGCAAGCATTTTTGAGTCATGTGAATTATTTTCTGTTCAATTTGTCATCATCACCATCACCGTGGTTCTCACTGCACCATCAGCATTACCTTTACCACCATCGTGGTCATTGTTACTGTCACAATCATTATCATTCTCATAACCATCACCATCATCACAATCACCATCATTACCATTATTGTCACCATCACCATCATCACAATCATCAAAATCACCATCACCACCATTATTGTCACCATCACCATCATTATCACCATGTCTGCCATCATCATCACCAACACCACAATCATCACAATCACCAACATCACCACTATCATCACCATCCTTGTCACCACTATCATCACTATTGTCACCTCCACCCTCACCGCCACCATGCTCACTGTCTGATCACCTGTGCCATTTAATGCTGAACAGAAGGGGGCTCCCGAGGCTCCACTTTTCTCCTTGGTTCCTCCTTCCGTAGATGACTCCTAGACAAATCCCAACTGGAGCTCACAAAGTAACTGGTGTTTGCAGGATGAAAAAGTGATTTGAAACCTCTCAAAAGTTGACTCCCCTCTTGAGAGTCTTCCCAAAAGATAGCCCATAGGTATGGTGAATTTAAGAACTTCAGTTCTTGGAAGCGATAAGAAAGTGCAGTGGAAATTACTCTGGTGTGTCAGATAATAAAAAAAAAAAAAMCAACCTATGTTTACTATTCACCATTCAGTGCAAGTAAATGAGGAGAAAACTCCAGCTACACAACTTCTGAAACTTCAATAGAAATTTTTTAGAGAAAGCATCTAATATCTATTCATGTCACTATAAGTATGTAAATGTTGGAATCATTAGGCTCTTTTATATATATATTTAATGTGCAAAGCAGTTAACCATTTCTCTCATACACAATAACCCAGACTTATATACAGAATTTTCTAGGGAAAGAAAAAAAAAAACAGTGTAAGGCTTCTCTTGTTCTTGCTAGTTCTCCAAATAACTGTCGGGATGTGGTATAGCATATGAAGATGGATGTGTGTCAAGAGGGCCCTGGAAGGATAAGAACCCAGAACCCATGAGGGAGATATAAGGACACCTTGAGGCTTGTCATTTCTATGCCTAAAAAAGTCCCTACCCCATAGAGGCCTCCATAATAAGAGGCACTTGAGAGACACTGAGGCGCTCTGAGCTACACCCCACCCTCACACACGCCACCCCGTTTAATCCCCATGGCCCGGGAGCAAGGTGATATGAAGAAGGTAGAGGAAGTAAACACACAAGAGGAAGTAACCACGTTGTAGCCTGTAATCSACTTTCCCAAGTTCACATAGCTCACCACCTGTTTCTACATGGCCCCAAAGCCAAGCACGTTCTCACAATTTTTTAATGGCTGGAAAAAGTGGAAGGAATAATACGGCCATCCCCTGGTAACCATGGAGGACTGGTTCCAGGACCCCGCTGTGGATACCAAAATCTGTGGATGCTCAAGTTCCTTATATTAAATGGTGTTGTGTTTGTGTCTAATTTTTGCACAACCTCACGTCAGCTCTAAATCATCACTAGATTACTGACCCCTCCTAATGCAATGTTCGTGGTATGTAAATGGCAGTTACACTATGTTGCTCAGGGAACAATGACAAGAGAAAATGCCTGTGCCTGTTCAGTACAGACATGATTTTTTCCCAGATTTTTTTGAACCTCGGTTGAATCCAGAGATGTAGAACCCATGGATATGGAGGGTCAACAGTACTTCATGATGTGAAAGTTAGATGTTCAAATCATATATTCAAATTTCAGAGCCCATAAGTCAAGTGTTGGGAAATGCAGCCATGCTCATTCATAACGTGTTATCCAAGGCTGCCTGTGCACCTCAGTAGCAGAGTTGGGTGGTGGTGGCAGAGACAGAACAGTGTTAGTCTCTGAGATGTTTGCCCTCTGCCCTTACAGGACAGTAGTTGACTCTTGCTAGCAGCATTGCTCTGAAGCCCATCTCTTTTTGTTGTTATTATTCTTTTTAKATACACATGACACTAGAGTGATTTTTTTTTGTGGGGGAGGGTACTAGGGATTGAACTCAGGGGCACTCAACCACTGAGCCACATCCCCAGCCCTATTTTGTAGTTTATTTAGAGACTGGTCTCACTGAGTTGCTTAGTGCCTCGTTTCTGCTGAGGCTGACATTGAACACTCAATCCTCCTGCCTTAGCTGACATTACAGGCATGTGCTACCACGCCCAGCCAAGAGAATGTATTTTGACATATTATACACACATGAAGTATAACTTATTCTAATTAGGATCTCATTTTTGTGGTTAAACATGATGTGGAGTTTTACTAGTTGTGTATTCATCTATGATCACAGGAAATTTATGTCTGATTCATTCTACTATCTTTCCTATTCCCATCCCCCCTACCTTCCCTTCATTCCCCTTTGTTTAATCCAATGAACTTCTATTTTTTCCTTCCCTCACCCCTTATTGTGTGTTAGCATCCATATATAAGAAAGAATGTTCAGCCTTTGGTTTTAGGGGATTAGCTTATTTCACTTAGCAGGATAGTCTCCCGTTCCATCCATTTACCAGAAAATGCCATAATTTAATTCCTCTTTATGAATGAGTAATATTCCATTGTGTGTATACACCACATTTTCTTTATCCATTCATCTGTTGAAGGGCACCTAAGTTGATTTCCTAGTTCAGCTCTTGTGAGTTGAGCTGCTATAAATATTGATGTGGCTGCATCACTGTAGTATGCTGATTTTAAGTCCCTTGAGTACGAAAAAAGTGAGTTAACTGGGTCAAATGGTCATTCCATTCTAAGTTTTCTGAGAAATCTCCATACTGTGAAGCCCATCTCTTTACCATGTCCCCACCATCTGCTTCTGTTACTTCTAAAACCTGCCTCTTGAGCTCAGTCCCTGCCAAGACCCTTGGATGCAGCCTGCCATGCTTCCCTCTCAGCCCACAGAGCCCCCCTAGCTCTGGGCGGTTGTGTCTGCCACCTCTCACCACCACCTCTTCTTTCCTAGTGAACAGCAGCAAACACATCGTCAGGAAGTTCCGCGGGCACCTGCGCACCAAGATAGAGTCTGGGGAAGGCACAGTCCCCGTCCGGGGCCCCAGTGCAGTCCAGACGTGGGACGGCATCCTGCTGGGGGAACAGCTGGTCACCATGTCCTGCACGGACAAGATCGCCAGGTAAGAGCCCGCCTGGCCATCCCCTTCCAAAAGTCAGCTTGTGGTCCCCAGTGGGAACAGCAAAACAGCAGGCCCTGACCCACATGGGTGTCCTGAGCGAGCTCAGAGAAAAATGGTTCCTGCCACTGGGGACCTAGAGCCCAGAGCCTGTCTTCCACAGGCAACTCACATTCTCACACTTTTTATTGCATGTGCTTGAAGTAAAGCTGCCTAGAGAGGGCAAGCACCCGGCAACGTCAAGTTGTGGCTTCAGACAAACATTACCCCTGACTGGGCCTGCCATTCCTGAATAGGCTAGTCATTGTCTAAATGGGCCACAGAATCGCCTGGGATGCAACGGGCACTTGCTCGCTCCTCCAGCCTCTTGCTTTTCACTAAAGCCTGACAATCAACCAGAGAAAGATGTGGACTTCCAGCTKCAAGAGATGCCACTCCCCCTGGACCCAGAGATATATTCATTCTAGAAGTTTCAAAGCCCCCAAATGCTAGTCTCAGAGAGAGAGAAACCGCAGGGTGAACAGGAGGAGGAGGAATTTGCAGAAAGGGCATCTCGTCTCTCTCACAGACAGCCTGCTAGTTAGTGAGAGGCCCCAAGCCAGGCAGGCACAGCCCCGCTCTCCCCACACCTTGTTCTGATGCCCAAGGTCTGTTTCTCCATGCTCAGAGAAGTTCTGACACCAGCTKCGGATGCCATCCCCACTACAGGATCGTTTTTGTGACTTTGGTTTAGAAAATAGTCACYGGCGGGGGGTGGGGAGAGGCACAATGCTGGAGTCTGCCTAACCCCATCCAAAGCCATTCCTGAGGACAGTAATGACAAGTGGTCATGGAACACCTAAGCCTAGAGTGAATCCAAAGGCCTCTTGGACACTCTGATAAATGTACTGAACCTGTAATTTATAACCCAAGGAAAACAGGATCGCATGCAAATGTGGTCTCTAAGCAAAGGCGCAGCCCCAAATGCGAACAACCTAACTGCCCGAAGACCCACTGCGTGGACGTGTTTGAAACTAGTCAGGAGGTGAGAAGGCTGGTCTCACAGGACACGGGAGGAAAGAGGCTGGGGAGGAGACAGGGAAAATGAAGCCCAAGGAAAACCAAGCCCACTATCTTAGCAAAGACCATGAGGTCCTCAGCTGCCCGTCACCACTGCAGGATCTGGGGACGGAAGGGGAGCATGGGTCATCCCTCACAATCTCCAGCCCAAGTGCAGCCATCCCAGGTGTTCCCCAACAGAGAGACGCCCCAGAGCATCCTGGGAGGGAGCTCGATGACTGAATGAGGCTCTTCACCTACTAAAAACTAAAGAACGGATGTGCTCACTCTGGAGAATAGAGCACAAAGCCGGAGGGTTAGAGAGATTAAGTTCCACTTGCAATCACCGGTGGGGACATCAGGCAATGTGAGAAAACACAGAGCCAAGGAAAGAAGTCAGCATTGCCAGTCCCGGAGGACAGGGGAGACCCCAGGGCTTCCTCTTTCTACCCCGCCTCCGGCTCTACCATAGACCACCATCTTAGTGGCCTCTTGGAGGCTTTCTGAGGCTACAGGGCAGATGAAACATCAGCCCCAAAGAACTGTGATTCCAAATTCTCGTGGGAAATTACCGAATGGCTACAGGAAAAATAGTGCCATTTACTTCCCTGGCTTTGATTGCTCCTGGCTCTGCAGAGCAAGAAGACGGCCTAATGACAATAAATCAAAGCACTGATTTCTGTATCAAAGGGAACAGCCCGTAGTCGTCAAATAGCTCATCTTTCAGAAGAAAATGTATTCCTCCTTTGTAATGTTTTCATCTATTCATGGAGAAAAAGGAAAAAAAGCAGCAATTTTCACTTTAACAGAAATTCTCTTGTGCCCTAAGATAGCATTGGGTTTCTAAATTAACTCTCTGACTCCCCAGAAAAATGAAGTAAATTAATGCTACAGAAATGAAATGAAATTTTGTTGTCTCTGGGATCTTAAACATCAATAGACAGTAAATTAAACAGGGGCTACAAAATCCGAGCTTTATTTGCTGGTGGTGGGGCTATCCATGGTAGTGCAACCCCTCAAAAGTCAGGCTTTTCTCTTTTTAATAAAATCTTTTGAAAAATGAAAGTCCACACTGCACCCCCTTTGGGGGTTTTCAAGCAGTGTCCTGCCTGGGGAAAGATTCTAGACTGATTCTGCAAGAGAGTACAAGTCTGGGACATCGTGATGTTCTAGGCTCTGGCCGGGATCCCCAGGGTTAATCCATAGGGTTAATCCACACCTGCCCCACAGGGTGGGGTTCAGTAGCTGCCTGATCTCTTCCGACTCACTTAGACCTTCATCCCCAAATCTGGGTAGTGGGAACAGGACRGAGGGCACAAAGGAGGGAGGAGGAGGCGCCTACAGACCTTGAAGATGCCCCTCACCCCCTTGCTCCCTCCCCAGAGCCCACTCAGCCACCTGCCTACTTCTATGCTTTGCTTTGTCTTCTGCCTGGCCACAGTGCATTCTCTCTTCTCCATCATTTCTCTTCTCTCTGTCTCTCTCTCTCTCCCTGCCTCTCCCTCTCTCTGTCCCTGTCTCTCTCTCCCTCGCTCTTTCTCTCTCCCTCTATCCTCTCTCTTTGACCCTCTTCTCTCTCTATCTCTGTCTCCTTCTCTCTGTCTCCCTCCCTCCCTCCCTCTCCATCCCTCATCTTCCTCCCTGGCTGAGCCCATCTCCTCTCTGCTCCACTCACACTCCACTGCTGGATCCTCCTGAGGCTCTCCTACTGCCTCCCTGCCTCTTCCCCACTCAGGCCACCTCTTTCCCTGCCCAGATGCAACATCACCCTCTTCAGGTCYCACCCCCATCACCATGTCCTCTCTCCCGAACTGAAATTGCAGGAATTTGTTTTCCAAAGTGTTTGCTTCTGTGCTGAGCTGTGACCTTCAAGGGATGGTTCGAAGCCACTTGATTTGCATGGTATCTGTCACAGTGAGATGCACACAATGGCCCCCAATAAACAGTATTTGTTGGTAATGATGATGAAGACAGGGCAATGGTGACCATGACGGTGACAGAAATAATGCCACCAGCTCCCAACAGTCCCGTCTGAGTCGCGCCAGAGTGATTGGCATCGGAACACATCCTTTGGCATGGACGTACTCGTGCTCCCGCCATAGTCAGAACCTGAGCATAAGACAAGGATGCGAACGCTAAGGCATGAGCTATTTTGAACAGAGGCACATTTGCCATTTTTGAGTGGGAACATATGTTATGCTAATGATTCAAGACCATAAGCATCTGTAACATGCATTATTTGTACAAAGGCTTTGCAAAGAGACCATCTGATAATGGATGTGCTCATCTGCTTTCTGTCCTGTACAAAAACAAAAATTCAACCTCAGGCTTAAATAATRTTCAAAAATAAAGGACCTTCATACACAAATACAGATGAAGCCTTCTAACTCAATGAATTAATAGCACTCGATGCTCTTTGGCGAGTGAGGCTCTGAGGACACAAAGACACAGGAGTCACAGTCTATGGAACAGTGGGGGAGGCACACTGGCTCTAAAGACCACAATACATGATGGTCATGATGGCCTGGAACAGAGGCATCCTAGAACCAGTTAGGCCTAAGAGGGGATTATTGAATTTCCAGGCAATTTTGAAACTGCAGTYATTATTAAAAATGAAATTACACAAATTTACAACTAAGTGATTATACTAAGACCAAAGTAATAAATACTCAAAACTCACCTGGCCTAATTATCTTACTATTATTTATGCCCTTGAAATTATTTACCCCTATTATATCTGTATGGGGGAACACAAATAAGCAATATGCTTCTCTTTTGCCCAAAGTCTTTCCTTCTTCCCAAGTCTGCACTCAGCACCCTTGCAATGGGGCTTGGAATTGTCCACACTGTGTAAATTAGCAAAGGCTACAACTTTACTATTTTTAAATATTTTTAGTTGTAGTTGAACATAACACCTTTATTTTGTTTATTTAGTTTTTTACGTGGTGCTGGGGATCAAACCCAGTGCCTCACACGTGCTAGGCAAGCGCTTTGCCACTGAGCCACAGCCCTAGCCCTATTATTTATTTGTTTGTTTGTTTATTTTGAGAGCCAATCTTTATCAGCATAACACTGATACCACTGCATATCAGTTTGGTGAGAGCCAGGACATGTACTCAGAGCCTAGAAATAATGTATTTGAGGCTGTGTGTTGTCAGTGTGTTGTCTGTCCTCGAGGGCCTCATTCCCCCTTAGAATTTAACCCTCCCATCAAACTCTAAGCTTCCTGTGGGCAGGGAGCTTGTCTTCTTCTACATGACGTATTCCGTATCTGGCACAGTTGGTGCCTGCATAGATTAGGCACCATGAGTATTTATGGGAGAAACAGACAGGTGGTTGAAAAGGAAGATGAGAGATGGATCCATGAGAGACCGAGTCCCACACAGGTAGTAGGGTGTTGGCGCCCTCCAGCCTCTGCCTGAACTGCTTTGCAGAGCTGAAAGGGAGCCTGTCATGGTCAGCAATGCCATACTAATGCCTGTGTTGGCCCTTGACACTGACTGCACCAGCCCTCAGAACCAGCCCATCCGTTAGTGGGTGAACAGGGCTGAAAGCCACGTGGGGAGGGTGTTCTAGTCACCACAGGGGGTCCAAGGCCGAGGGAAGGGCAGGTTCTGACTCTGAGAGCCTTTCTATCCTGTCAAGTCATGCACACTGGACTCTTGACACCCCTCACATGGTACAAAGGCATAATGGGGTCAGTCATCAGCAAATATTGACTGGATGAATGAATGAGACTTACCCCTCCATCAGAACAGCCCAGATGTGAACCATGAATAGGCACCTGAGAGAGTGCAATGGGGAGCTAAAATTTAAAACATTTAACTCCCACCAAGGCTGAACTGCTATTTGTGCTGCCCAGAGATTTTTTAGCAACGTGTCTGTAAGCGACTAAACCTACTATTTTCTTGGAAAGAAAATAAGAGTCTGATCCCAAGTGATGCTGAAACCCAGTCTCATATATT